AAACACACACACACAACCACACTTACACACACACACACACACACACACACACACACACACAACACCTCACCTACACACATACACACACACATGCACACACATCACCGCCACACCACACGACACAAACACACTCACACACACACACACATGCACACACACAAGTCCAGTGCTATGTAGTCGAGTCCGCACCCCCCGAGGTCCGCCAGTCCGAGTCCGTGAGTCGAGTATGGCCGCGTCCGAGTCCGGTCCCGCCACCGAGTTCGGAGTCCACACCACCCGAGCTCGAGTCCGAGTCCGCGCGAGTCAGTTTTGATAAAAATGGGCGCGGGCGGACCAGACCGGACAAGGTCCACTCACTTCTATGTAATGTGTCTGTTCAAAAATGGCGGGAGTGTTTCCTGTCCCTGGTATCTGTTTCCTTGTTTGCTATTAAAATAGAACAGTACCATAAAACTTGCCTAGTCGACACTTTTGGTACCATCAGTAGAGAAGCTCCGTAGAGCTCGTGTGATAGGCAAAGTGTGAAAATCGTATAGTGAGGTCCAGAGTTCGTGTACAACAGCATTACGTGTGGCAGAATTCAGCACTTAAGCCACAAACGTATAATTAATGCTTTATAACCACGTAATTACTAACCGGTTAACTCTATTCTTTAATAAAACAGTCCGTGCAACATAACTAAAAATACCAGTTTAACATCAATCTTATACACCAGACATACAGACTAAGGCGACCTATGGTCTTACAAATGCAGTAGTTCATATACTTATGATGCGTGTCCGGAGTTCTCGCAGACTCGCAGGCAGGGTCCTTTGGCGAGCTCGTCCAATTTGGGGTCCGCGGCTCTCGCGTGGCGTGGATCCCCAGCATGGTTGAGACGGGTCGGATACGTCTTGATGCTGACAGCATCGGGAGCTGTACAGGCACCGTGTGAACCGTGTTTTTCTTCTTTGTCGAAACTTTTTCGTTATTTATACAAACCTGGAGGAATGCATGGCACTTGAGTCGTGGTCAAGCGCCCCTTGTTGAGTAGCGGATGTGCCAATCCTGCCTCCTTCTCCAGATTTTGTATGATAAGAATGGTGAGAGCTCGTGACGCCTTCTTGGTAGTCTCTGGTGTGGGCAACAGTTAGCGCAGTCGATTTCATGCTTCTTCATATTTCGCATAGTTCACATTTGTCGGCGCGGGTTCGGTCTGGTTGTTCCTTTCATCACGAGTCGGCCATGCGATCACTCCAAGGTGTTGATGTCCTTCTATTAAGGTACTAAAAATCTCTAGTGTCGGCCTCTGTAGATGTTGATACTTTCTATCCTGCCGCGTCGCATATTTTCTTTTCCTCTTCGTGTTTGGGTCACGCGCGCGACCACTGCGCGTGCCGGGCCGTGTGCGGCTTGGTGAGAGCAGGACTGGTGTTCTTCGCTTGTTGCATTGGCCTGTTACTAAAATAACCTATGACGTGATCTGCTTACGTTTAATGACGCCTCGTGTCATTAGGTTTGTATACCTTTATGGCTTAAATAATTTGATACTTACGTCCACCTACCGGACCAGCATATTGCCTAGTCGACTTAGTGGAACAATAACGACTCACGCCGTAAAAAGTCATCATTTTGTCGATCTCTATACCAATGTATTGTAATGACGCGTACCAACACTGTATTAGTTGCCTTGCGGATTCTGACGATCGAGTTAAATCATAAACAAGCCAATCCTGAGTTTGATGAACAAAGTTTATATTAACAATACGAAAAAATTGGAAGTGGAGGTCTGCATAACGCGTACATTCATTTATTGCCGGGGCCCTTGTGAATAGCAAATGATGACTTGTGACTCAGAGCGCACGCCTGCGATTTAAAGGCCGCGTTCACAAACTCAGCATCTATGCCGACTACCTACGTGTATGTGGGTGGCCTCGAACGCCCCGGTCTGGACCCGATTATGCCGTGAGTCCTCGAGTCACGGCACGGGCTCAGAGTCACGAGTCTGATTCCGGAGTCCATTGCACCTCCGAGGCCGAGACCAGAGCACCTGTAGACCAAGGAAAAAACGAGTCTCGCAGACCGGTCTCAGAGGCCCAAGACACGTCGTGCTTCAGAAGACTCACAACCTTACCTCGACACATACCATGCACAACGAATGGCACACACCACCACAGCACACACACGCACTCACCATTCCAAGACACAACCCACCACACACACCACTACACCCACAACAACGACGACACATACGAGCACACACACACACCACTCACACACACACTACATCACAACATACACACACACAACACCACACCGCCCACAGCGCAATACAAAACATCACTCTGCACACTTACACATACGCACACCACACAGCACACACACACACACAACATATCAATTTACCGCAACCACGACACGCTACGCACGCACACACAACACACACACAAATATGCAACACCACACCACTACACACTACACACACCACCAGAAACAACGACAGCCACGCACGCACACACACACACACACACTACCACACCACCAAGCGCGCACAATACACACACACACACATACGATGCACCACACACAATGTACACCCACACATGCACACACACACCACGCACACACACGACACACCACACACACACACACGACCACACGACACACATACGGACACACACACTACCGACACACTCACACACTCACACACGACAACACACACAGCACGCCTATACAAAACACACACATAGCCACACGACACTCACGCACACCAACCACACCACACTATACACATACGTCCACACACGACGCATTCGCTACACCACACACAACACTCACACACACACACACAACTCACACAACACGCACACCACTTCCGACACACGCTACACACAACACACACACCCACGCCATACACCACACACACACTACACCACACACACACACACATCAACACCCACCACAAACACACACACACACACACATAACCACACACACAACTCATGTTAGGGCTTACCAGATAAGTTTCTCGTTGCATAAATTCATACTTATAAAGGTACATTCCTAATCTACGTTCCGCCGAACGACGGTAGAAAACGCAGATTGTAAAGTTGTATTTTTAGAGGCAAGGAGTCGTTGTTTCTCCCGCTTTTCTCCGTCTTTTCTCAATTTCCTGTATACTATACGTCGTTGTAAAAATTGCGGTTTTTCTTAGTGGATTAGACAAAACTTCGCTAAGTTGTATTCAGAAATAAATTCGAACGTTTGGCCGTTTAGTCAGGTTTCACATGCGCCCCGCGGTTCCTGGTTAATTATTTACTTTTTAGTCCGTCATTCCACGTCGCTTTTCATCAGCAATATTTAGTCGTATATCGGAGAACGGAATAGCGACTTTGCATATCGTGCTGCTGCGCACTTTAGTCGAAAGCCTGGATGTAATTTGGAGATTAAATTATTGGATCCGGTGACGCGAAACGACGTCTAAATTCACCTACCATTACCGGTTTTGTTATTTTGTGTCAAGGGTTTCCAATATTTCTTCGAACTTAACTCCTCTTTCTCAAGAGTTCCGCTCATTATTTGCGTGACGCAGTGTGACGATGGGATACCACACATGCACACATACACAACAGCTGCGCGCGCGACCCACACACAATACACACACGCACATCACGCACACACCACACACACACGTGCTGCGCACGCACGAAGCTCGCACGCCGCACGCCACACGCCACGCAGCGCACGGACACACACATCACACACAACATAGACACACCAAACACACTACGCACACACACACACGTCACGCCACACCGACCCAACACACACACAAAACACACGCACACGCACACGCACACGCACACGCACAACAGACACACAACAAACACACACACACACACACAACACCACACACCACAGCACACACGTTGATTCGTCCGGTAGATCCTGCCACTCCGATCGCGGCACTTAATAGGGTTATTATGTAACGTCTCATGCCATTCCTAATTCGCGGCACTCGGTGCGGATAATTCTATGTTTAGATTGAGATTCTAGATTCAATTTTAATAATGTCACGTAATTTCACGCGCTGTGCCGGTTGCCCCTGCCGTCTGCGGTGTCTTTTGCGACGGCAGAAAAATTTGTGTATGCAGGCCTAATGCCTTTCTTCTCTCTCTCTCTCTCTCTCTCTCTCTCCTCTCTCTCTCTTCTCTCTCTCCTCTACTCCTCTCTCTCTCTCTCCTCCTCTCTCTCTTCTTCTCTCTCTCTCTCCTCTCTCTCTCTCTTCTCTCTCTCTCTCTCTCTCTCATCTCTCTCTGTCTCTACTGTCTCTCTCCTCTCTTTCTTTCTTTCTCTCTCTCGCTCTTTCTCTCTCTCTCTCTCTCTTTTTCTCTTCTCTCTCTTTTTCTCTGTCTCTCTCTGTCTGTCTGTTCTGTCTCGTCTCTCTCTCTCTCTACTCTCTCTTCTCTTTCTTTCTCTCTTCGCTCTCTCTCTCTCTTCTCTCTCTCTCCTCTCTTCTCTCTCTTTTCTCTCTCGCTCCTTTCTCTTTCTCTCTCTCTTTGTATGTTGCGATAACCATGTAGGTATGCCTATATGATATGTTATTTGTATGTCCTCGTAACGAGATCATCTCCACATTTGTGATGCACCGCTAATGTCTTTTGCTCTCTCTCTCTCTCTCTCTCTCTCTCTCTCTCTCTCTATCTCTCTCCTCTCTCTCTCTCACTCTCTGTCTCTCTCTTCTCTCTCTCTCTCTTCTCTCTCTCTCTACTCTCTCTCTGCGTCTCTCCTCTCCTCTCCTTCTCTCTTTCTCTCTGCCACCCCTCTCTCTCTCTCTCACTCTTCTCTCTCTACTCGTCTCTCTCTTTCTCTCTCTCTCTTTCTCTGATCCTTCTCGCGCTCTCTCTCCTTCTCGTCGCTCTCACTTTTATCTCCCTTCCGTAACCTATGTATGCTTGCGAGTGCGTGCGTGCGTTGGTGCGTGCGTACATCATGATTGCGTGTGCCGTGTGCCTTGCGTGCGTGCGTGCGTGTGATTGCGCTTGGCGTAGTGCCTCTCGCGTGCAGTGCGTGTGTCGTGATTGGTGCGCGTGTGTTTGCGTGCGTGACGCGTGTGTTGCGTGCTGCTTGCAGTGCGCGTCCCCCCTCTGCTGATGACGTGCGCGGTGTGCTTGCGTTGCTCGTGCAGCGCGAGACCCTACTGGCATCCTTCACGCCCGTGCGTGCATTGGTTGGGGAACCTGTGTCGCGTGGTGTCCAGGTCTCGCTTACCGTATTTCTTTCGCCGCTGCAGTACCGTTCGCAAGTTAAAAAAGCTACAAAGTCTCGGACCCGACTACCTCCCATGCGCTGCCTAAACACGATAGTGTTTGACTCCTGATGCACCGGCAATATCATGCTTCTCAATACATGTATGTGTGTGATCGCTGCAGCACAGTGAGCGTGTATGTGGTGTGTGTGTGTGTGTGTGTGTGTGTGTGTAAGTGTGTGTGTGCGTGTGTGCGTGTGCGTTTTGTGGGAAGCTCTTCCTAAATTCTGTTTGAATTTTTCCTTGCGTGATCGCACGCAGGCTTCCTTGCAGGCTCGTTAAGCCGTGTAGCTGTGATGCGACTTTTTATAAAACACGATCGTCTCATTCATACCGTGTAATTCTGTTCGCGAGTTCCAGTTCCATCGGATCTACACACGCCGACTGGTGTTGCACTGTAGCTAGGATAAAACTCATTAAACATTTAACATCCATAAAAGATAAATGAGCAGCAGCAACGGCAAGATAATGACCGACTGCAAATGTGTGGAAAAAAAAATCTTTGGTGTGCGCACGTGATTTGACGGCACGTATAACTACAGCCCCCCGTAGCATTACGGAAAGCGACGATCGGTTGAATGGAAGCATAACGAGAATGTTCTATACTTATACGATATCTTTATGATATACTCTTATCTCTCCTCCCTTACGATATACCATCAATCACGGAGTGTCACAATCACATGTGTCGCTGAATCGCAGACGTACCGTACGGAATCCGTCTACACCTGACATGTCCATAGGGGGCACTACAAGACTATACGTGCGTTCACAGTCGCAGCTGCAACTACGAGAGGCAGCGAAAACAAACACGACTTGATGCAAACAGAGTGAAGTAGCAACAAAGGCACTTGCAGAATACGTTCATGCGACTTCATGCTGTTCCGGCGGGAGCATCAGAAGCACTATCTAGATGTTGCAACGCCGAGCCATCGATAACGGTCAAGTGGTATGTGCTGATGGGAAACGCGAATGGAATCGAGTCGGATTCTCGGACGAATGCGTGTTTCTTTCTCGCTGATAAATATTGTGACGTTTTGCTCAATTAATCACTTTAGGTAGCCGGGCGCGGGAGGAGGGGGGGGGGAGTTTCAGAAAATTTCCCCTCAACTGGAACAGCAGCTGGGCGATGATGAGATACTAATGACTGCTATTTATACCGCAATCCGATTGTCGTTTCAGTCATTTAGTCGGCCTGCGCCGTGTATGAAAACGGGGAGAGCGTTAACGATCGTGCATTCACGGTTCCTCGTTCTCCGCAGCTAGGACGAAGAAAGATTTCGCACGCCAGCGTGAAACGAAGCAACTCCTATTGAATCCAACTCTAAGCACTCCTCGCCGAATCTAACGCATTCTATTTTCAGCACGTGAAAATACCGTAGAAACGAATGCAATTTCTACGTCTCATAGGTATAGACAGCGCTTTGAATGGTTATAGCTACCTATACGCATCACTATCGCCCAATTCCAATTTCAATTGCTCGAGGCTTCATCTACTTTAAGTGATTCTACTGAAGCTGCGAGCATCGCAACCACTAATCGTCTGCTATAGCATCGAACAAGTGCACTTGTTTGTTTAATAACTCGCATCCTCTAGAGGCTAATCGTACTCGAGTGTCGTAGCTGTCAGGCTACTTAATTAGCAAGGCAGAATATTCACGAATCGTGAGAGCGAGAGAGAGGGAGCAAGAGTTGGGGAGAGGGAGAAAGGGAGAGAGAGAGAGAGCGAGAGAGAGAGCGAG